TTTTTTGAAAAATAAAAAATTATTTTTAAAACAGGTTGTCAAGCAAGCTCTTAGTTTACTTACAAACAAAGCTTCTTTCAAGCCTTGGACTGAGAAATAAAAAATAGATGATGCACGTGATGGAAAGAAATAAGAGATTTTTTTATGCCCTAAAAAGGTTCTCATCATTCTTGATGATGTGAGTAATAGAAGCCAACTAGATAATTTGGCGAGAAACTAAAGAGGGTTTAGTGAAGGGAGCAAAATCATAATAACTATGAGAAACATACAACTGTCGACACAATATGAACAGTTTGGAAGAGTATAATGTTGGAAAGTTGAAGGAACACTACAAAAAGAACAACTTATGTGGCTAAAAGCACTATCACCAATTCATTTGTAATAAAATTCAAATTTCCGTTGCTAAGTATCCCATCACTAACACACCATTTCATCATTGATTTCCAAGATAGGCCATTCTAACTCAGGTGACAGATTAGTGATAAAATTTCTATCATAAATTAGCAACGGAATTTCGATCACAAAAAATTATGTCATAAATATCGGACAATCAGCAACAATAATTCTATCACAATTCCGACGCTAACTTTTTTTATCTTTAAAAAAATTACATATAATTTTTAAAAATTTTTTATTTATAGGTAGCATTTTTTATATACCTAAATTAATTCTATTAAAATTATAGTAAAACAAGAAATTCAAATTTATTAAATAATTATATCATAAAACAAACATTTCAAAATTATTAAATTACCATAACGTAGTAACAAATTACAACAAAAAATGTCACAAGTCTAACAAAAAATGCAACAAACTTGTTTTACTTAAATTCCACAATTGAATCTTGATGGATAAAAGCAAGGTCAAGTTATATACATCAGCTTTCTAAACTACCCTCAAGCAAATAAATATTCCAAGTTTGGAAAGCATTCTTTGCACTATTTTTTCTTTAAATTTGGTTCTAACAATCTTAAATTCCTCTCGACAAAAACCCATAACCTAAAAAAGGAAAACACATTTAGTTGGAGTTGGGAAAATAAGCCAAGCCCGTCAGGCTAGCTCATTTAAGCTTGCATAATAGTAGGACCGAGCTTGTAAATATGATTCCAAAATGATAAATCAGGCTTAATAAGCTAGCCCATTTAATTTAGGGACTTAAATAGGTTGGCCCTACAGGCCGAGGGCCAGCTCGTTTAAGCCCGCATGTGCATAATTTTTTTTTAAATTAATTCTCATGACTTTCATTTTTTTTAGATTTGGGAAAAGAAATTAAACTAAATCTTACTCCACATCACATGTCAATCCATATCTACTGAGGATAGAAGGCCAAAAAGAAGGGAAAATAGCAATGAAGAATCACTTATCAAAAATTATATCAGTCAAGGATCACTTATTATCAAAATCAAAGTGAATACTTATGAATTCGATTTAGCCTTTATCACTAAATATTCATCATGTTTTAATAACAACTCATTTTAAATTAAACAACAATCCATTGTAGCTTATTTTTTATTCAGGTTTTGACAACAACTGGTTCTTAATTGATATAAATTTTATACAAAATTCATGGTTGCTATTTTTTTTAAAAAAAATACAACCTTAAAGCCCCTAATTCATTTAGATTTATAATAATGATTTATTTAGTTCAACATTTACTCTTATTTTTTCAATACGTTTCTCTCCTTTTTACCACTACAACAAGTTATCGCATCACCGTCCCTATCATCATAGCTCACAAGTCATCCTTGCCCCTGTTTTTGTGTTCACTTTTCAATCATCCCCGTTGCTCACTCCAATAGTGCTCCCTCCCAAACCACCAAATCTCAACAATGTTCGATTAGTTGACACTCATTGTCATCGATCTCCCACGTCCTCCTATCACTTATCATGCTCGTGCATTCGTGACTCATAAACTAAGCTCTATCTATTGCAAATATTGTGCCCGTGCTCTTCGTTTTCCTCAATCTCCTAGTCGCATATCTTAGTCCTTCAAGGCTCAATGTCATCTAATTTCGATTGAGTATTTGTTGGCTTAACCAATCTATTGCTTATTACCTGCTATCACTTCATTTTGTGTTTTTACTTCATTTAGATATTATTTAGTTAGTTTTTTTTTTACCTTTCTTGATTAGGTATTATATTGAAATGAAGTAATTTTTGTTTGATTAAAAAATTAAAAAAAATAAAAAACAGTTAAAAAAGTTTGGAGCCCACAGGGCCGGCACTAAACTTGTTATGTCAAGGGCCAAGATTCATATATCAAGGTCTTAAAGGGAATTCCAGTGTTAAAAAGGCTGGCCCTTTTAGGCCTAAGCCCTTCAAGGGTCAGCTCATTTTCCCAAACTCTATAGTTAGTTCTCACATGTAAAATTGAATTGAAGCAAAATTTGAAAGAAGATTTTAACCCATAACCCATTTAGCCAATTTCAAAGAAATATTCCTTCAATGCAATAACAATTTGAAGCAATGTGAAGCGTAGGATGAAGATGGATTCAAAGCATAAACAATCCATATTTAAAGAACTCGTAATATATGTTATACAAGAAAGAGATGAACATATAAAAAAACAGAGAATAAGAGATGAACAACGTACAAAGTTAAATGCATGCATAAGTCAAATGGATGAAAAATCATTCACTGTCTTATAATAAAAAGACAGTTATATTCTAAATTAATTAAACACAAAAAGCTAAGGTATATTTCTTACTGATTCTCTTAGTCATTGGATGCACCAAACAAGAATGTGCAAGAAAAGTAGAAAACAAGGGCAAAATCATGTCTCACTAGCATACTAGTAGGGTACTTACCCTTATTCTAAGATCAAGTTTACCAATGTACAGTCTACTTTCACTTTTATCATCCACATAACCCATTAGGATCCTGCACTGTCATTCCACCAAATTATGTGCCCAATAATAAGATGATAACACAGAAAGCAATAGAATGCACCACACTAGTCCCTCAAGTTTCATTAACTGTTGGGAAACTCAAGAAGAATTCCAAAATTTAATATTGTTTCCAATTGGGGTTTTTTTGCATTGGAGATGATTTAAATCACCTCCAATCCAACATAATGCTTATATTTTTATTGTTATATAAATTCTACATATTTTCATTATTTCAACCAAACTATGGCAGTAAATCATTTCAATGGCTAGCCCAACTCTTAATACCTTATGAAGACCACACCATGCAAATATACCAATTTTTAAAAGGAGAAAATTTGACAAACTCAAAAGAACTGTGTCAACTTGAATGGTGTTCATAATATATTTCTACTTCCAATACGCATCAGCAAACATTCTGCACAAAGATAATTTTCATCAATTATTCAAAATTTAAACAAGTTAGGGACTAAAATTGTTCTAGCATATCAAATAGCTTATTGATTAATAGAGGTATCCACTGGTGCGATTCCTGGTCCCTACTCCCCCACCCCTTTAAATTTTTTTTTTTTGGATTTCCCAACGTAAACTAAATCACTAAATAAGGCAAAATTTATTGTTGTTTTGAACTTTAGAGATATTCTATAAAATAGGCATTTGCTGCTAGTATTTCAAATTTAATAAGCAAATCTGATAAAGAATGTAATAACCTTCCATACCTGTGCACCCTTTTAGCTAGAAAATATTACAACTTTCATCATTATTTGTCAAAATTTAGTTAGAAATAAATTTTCCATTTCCATATATAAAAAAATCTTACCAAGATTCAATTTATTCCCAATACCATCTAAAAGTCACAATAATCAGCAGAGTAGTTCAAGCAGAGAAATTAATTTTTCCATACTTTCATCTCTTGAATTTTAGTATAAACTTCAAAATTCTTGTCTTCAAGGCCTTACCCCAAAATAAATAAAAGTTAACTGCAAGAGATATACATATATAAAGTTGCATATGGAGTCACAAGCACCTGAAAGGAGATTAAAGAAATGAAACGATTCAAAAATATTTGAAGATCAATCTATGCATGACATGAGTAGATTTGCATGTACGTCTCAAGGAAATATGCAAAAGGCACTAGTGCAAGGCTAGCTAAAGTACTTTGATAGGTCACATGCAAAGGATTGAAGTCATGATTGATAAATAATTTTAACATTAAATATAATTTTCAAAATAAATAATTTTGGACTCCCTTTTGCTGGCAATGTTCCACCGTTATAACAATGAATAATCAATGGCCTATTTAGAATTAGTAATTTAGGCCAAGCTTAAACACCTAGCCCAAACTCACCCGAAAAATTTAAAATCGAGCCTAAAAAAAATAATATTTTTTTAATGTTCAAGCCTATTCGGGTGGCCTGAATAGGCCCGAAAAAATTCGAGCCAAGTCCCATTAGATTTGAGCTTGATACCCAAATACTTGAATAAAAAATTAATTTTAAAAAATATAATAAATTTTAATTAATTCTAATTTTTATATCATTTATACTAAAATACCATATATTTGAATACATACTATAGTTATTTGTTTTAAAAAAATATCTATATTTTCATATTTTATTATTCTTAATCAATAATATTTAAAATATATTTTAATATTAATTTTTATATTTTAAGACCCAATTTTTTTAAAAAAAGTTTTGAATCCTAAAAATCATTTGTATCCAAAAAATATATTTTATATTTTATAAAATAAGATAATTAATTTTAAAGTAAAAATAAAATTTAAAATAATTTAAAAATAAAATTTGGGCATATACGAATTTCTGACTCTACTACTAGATAAACATAATAAATAGAATAATATTCTTAGATAATTACTTGGTCATCAACCATGCCAAACTAAGCTAAAAATTAAGAGTAAATTAATTAAATAGCCCTTATATGTAGGGGTTAAACAATAGAATAAATTAAAGAAAAATAATTCTAAAAATAATATTTTATTCATAATTAAATATTTTTAAATAATATAATTATGACTATTTTTTCTCATATTTTTAAAAATAAAAAGTACAATTTATCCAAAAATTAATAAAAAACTTTGAATTAATCAAAACAATAATTTTAGTTAGTCGTCTAAACATGAATGGAGATCCAATTTGATTATAATTAAAATAATATAATTAATTAAAATAGATAAAATATTTATAAATGATTATGATAAGAGCAATATTTAAATAACTAAAACATTAATTTATAAATAAATAAAACATTTATGAATAAATTACACATAATACAATAAAACAGTAATAGAGCTACTGAAATATAAAGTTGATAAGTTATTAGTTTTTAATTTATTATTTTAAGTTAAAATGATATTTTATGCTTAACAAAATATTTAAAAATTAAAATTGATTAAAAACGTAAGAAAAAAATATTTTTAAAAAAGTGTTGAATATTTGAGCCAGCCCAAATAAGCTTGAAACTCGAAGGTATTAGGACCAGTCTTAATTATATGAGCTTTTTTAAAAAAAGTAAAATACTTTAAATTTAATCCAAATAACTCGACCTGAATAGACATAGTCTATCCAAATTTCTGGCTCTAGCTCTATTGTCAAATAATCATAGTCATAAAAATAACCGATGACAAATACATACACATCCAATGTGAAAGAATTAATTCATACTAAATAAAACCCAGGTTTTACCTTTATACTTTTTCTTTAACACCTTCCAATGTGAAAGAATATGCGCTAGAAGCATCTAAAACACCATCTCTCAAATTATCTGGGAAGAAGTGTGAAAGCTTAATTTCTAATGCATTTACTTCTTCAACGGTAAGCTCCCATGATAAAGATTCAAGATAGTGTGAGCAAAAGAATTAAAAAAAAAAAAATTCTCATCCATGAACTAAGGAAACAAATGCCACCTAGTCTAAAGTGCTTTCCTCCAAAAGAATATGCATCCAACGCAAATCTTAGTTAACGCAAAAATCATAAACCCAAATCTGAAGAAAAGACTTTGAAAACTCAAATCATAAACCCAAATCTAAAGAAAAGACTGTGGAAAACATTGAAAATCATAAACCTAATTCTAAATAAAAGACTGTGGAAGTCCAAATCATAAAAAAAAAAAAAAACTCACTGAAGGATTGCAGGGAAGCTGGGGGATGAAGCTCTGAAGACACGAACGAGGTAATGACGGCATTGAAGGGGTGACCAATCCGCCAAAGATGAAGACTGAGGTTGAATCGCGAGGGAGGAGAGAGCAGGGGAGGAAGAGAGGCGTGGAGGATTGAAGGGTAGGGAGGGGGGAGGGGGAGGGAGAGAGGGCGTTGGTAGATGGAGTAGGGGCCTTGTGGGGAGAGGGTGCGTGAGGGGTGGGGAATAAAATTATCCTTTAATTTATTTTTCTTTATTTTATTCCTTAGGTATGGAATAAAATTTTAAGATCACCGCCATTATTTAATTTCATAATTTATATATTAAATGGTTAATATTATTCAAAATAAAGAAAAATACGTTTTCTTTTATAATTATGATTGTTATATTGATTTTTTTATGATATCGTTATATTGATTTTTATCTCACATAGATCCCTATATTAGAACGAACCAATTAATCAATATTATTTGACTCCCAAAATCAAATTTGAAGGAGATTCTGAAGATAATATTAGATCTCAAAAATTCAAAAGCAAAACAATATTTAAATCAAGATTCAGTATATCTCTTAATTAAATAAGACAAAATAATTACTTAATTCAAAATTCCTAAATATTAGGCAAAACTTATTTAATTTATTAAGAATTCCTAAAAATTACATATATCTTTTATTTATAATTGCTAATTAAATAAGCTAAACTAATTATATTACATAATATAAAACATGTGTCAATTGTTTTATAGATTAACAAAACATTTTGGATACATATAAATTAATGGTACATATAATTAATTCAAATGGGTTGATTTGAATTCAAATAGACAAATCTGGTCAAGGGTGGGTGATTTGAGTAATAATGATACATATCTCGAATCTAACTCTAAACTTAAATCCTAACCTGATTCTAAAGTACAAAATTATAGAAAAGGTGCAAAATTATAAAATTTACTAAAAGGAACACATAGCATTCATGTGTAATTTGTTATCCTACTTAAGTGTGTGTGTGTAATTATAAGATATCTCTCCTGTAATTTGTTACTTATTTACACATAATTTAAAATTTATGGAATTATCTGCACATGACTCAATGTTTCAAGGCATTAATACATATAAAAATAAAATTTTATATATATATATATATATATAATTGATGGTTGAGGATTTTAAATTTTATATTAAATTTAAAATTTATATATAATCCATAAAAATTTTATTAATTTGAATTTCAAAAGTAATCCCTAAACATATAGGATAAACAATTTATTTTGGTTTTATTTTTTGCAATTATAAAGTTTTTTTTAGGAATTTGAATTTAAAAAAATTGCTACATTTATAAAAAAAATTTTATTGAAAATTATTGAAATTTTATCTCTCATAAGCAACCCTAAATTCCTATATTTTTTTAATAACTCTCCTATAATTAATTTTTTATTATTTATTTGCACATAACTTAAAATTTACAGAATTACCTGTATATGACTCAGTTTCAAGGCATTAATACACATAAAAATAAAATTTAATAGGGTATATAGTTTATCTTCATTGATTACCAATCAGCCCAAAATTTTTTAAGAGTTTAGGATTTATTATTAAGTTTTAAAAATAATTTCTTTTAAAAAAATCTACAGTTAAAATAACTAATATCATCACTATGTGGCTACAAGCAAGACAAGTACTACTTTGTGAATATCATAAGCTTAACTTTCCATTAGATTATAAAAGTATTAATAAAATAAAAGAAATGAAAAATAAACCCATCAAGCGAGCATTCCAATTTTCTCTATTACCACTAAAATCAATTCAATATATATTGAAATCTCTTGATTATATTGGGGCATAGTTTAAACAAATGGCAATTGAATCAATAATGGAAGAATTTTGGAATATACATCCAACATATGCAAGGAAGCTTTATGCACTAAGAAAGTAATACAACATTGTCCGAATTAATTAATATTGATTATGATATGATAAAGTTGAAAGTACATATAATATATATGTTAAAAAATTAATTTTTATGAAACAAATAGTTCAAATGCAAGTAAAGACATGCTATATTACAATCAATTATTTTTTCACTCTATAAAAATTGTAAAATGATGTAGACATTGAAATTAGTAAAATAATAAATTGTAAAATGATATAGATGTTAGTGATGGAATTAATTAGCCACGGATTAGTGACGGAATATGTATCTTGGAAGGTTTATATTAGTTAGGACAAAAGGTTCATGTTTTGAACCAAAGGATGTATACTGGAACGTTTCATGATTAAGACATAGTTTAAACCAATGACAATTGAATCAATGATAGTATAACCTTGAAATATCCAGCATATGCCAAGAACTTTTATGCACTTGAAAAAGTAATAGAGAATTGACAACACTATCTTTTGGCCTAAATTAATCTACAGTGATGAAGTTAAATGTACATATAACACACACACACATGTTCAAAAATTATCATTTTATGGAAACAATTTGCAAAATACAAGCAGAGACGTGCTAGATTATAATGAACTATTTTCTTGACTTATTAAAACTGCAAAATAATATAGATATTAAAAATAGTAAAATAATAAATTAGCAATTAAATTAGCGAAAGAATAGTGATGGAAATACTTTCCAACAAAATTAGCGACGGATTTCTAATAGACTTTAGTGATAGAAATATTTTTTCAATAATCTCTATTGTAAAACAGGAATTGGTTATCCTTGAAGTTAGCCACGGACATTTCCATTGTAAATTTCCATCACAAATGTTTTAGCAATGGAATTTGTGACGGATTTGCAACAACTAATTTGTGATAGAAATATTTTATCGCTAATTTCATTGCTAATATTAGCGACAAAATTAGCGGTGGAATATTTCTGTGATAAACTGGTTGTATTAGTGATGGATTTACCACAGATTTATGATGGACTTTTTTTCTATCACTAATTTCCATCGCTAATCCATTGTTTTTTTTGTAGTGGAAGATGAATCCCTTAAGTTTTTATGCCAAAAAGCACTTAAAAATGAAGGTTTTTTGGGATTTGTCGAAAGTAGTTAAATATACTTGTGGACTCCCTTTGGCTCTTGAAGTCTTGGGGTCATTTCTTTGCAAAAGGGATCAAGTTCAATGGAGAGATGCATTAGAGAAGTTCAAGCAAAATTTAGAAAAGGGTATCTTTAGTAAACTTTGCATCAGTTTTGAAGGATTAGAAGATGAAGAGTATAGAATATATTTTTAGATATTGCATGTTTCTTCATCCGAAAGCCAAAGGGTGAAGTGATAGATATATTGAAAATATGCGGTCTTCATTTAGTAATTGGAACTAATGTTCTAATCCATAAATCATTGTTAAGTACCTACCAGTCAAATACTTCATTGAAAAGGAGACGAAATGCTGAAGCATGTCAATAAATGGATGATGGGCTTGGAAGATGAGAAGGGAAATTTTCTTGGATTGAAAGCAGCTTCAATTTTATCCAAAAGATCATCTTATTATGCATGATTTTCTTCAAGAGATGGGAAGGAAAGTTATTTCAAAAGAATCAAGTGATGCCTGTGAATGTAGCAGATTATGGTGTCTAGAGGAGATTGATCACATGTTGAAAATAAATAAGGCAAGAATTTGACTTTTAAGTGTGCTATAGTTAATTTATGCATGCATTATCTTCCTCTTTCACTTGATATTTTTTTTTATCTCTCATCACCTTAGTTCATCTCCATACACGTTTATTATAGGGAATGAAAAAAGTTCAGAGCATATGTTTGAATATAGCACCAAAATTTGAAACGAAGTAGCACCCAGGTTGCTTTTTGAAGATGAAAATCTTAGACTTTTGAACTTAAGTGGCATTCTTCTTTTACGGAATCTCAATGTTCTTCCTAATGCATTAAAATTTCTCAAATAGAATTCTTATTCTCTGGAATCTTTGCGATCGATTGATCAGTTGTGTGAACTTAAAATTCTTGAGTTGTGTAAAAGCAACATTAAAAGATTATGGAATGGAGCACCGACATGCTTTCCTCCCCAATCTTGAATGAGTTATGGACTCGATTTTTCTCCTCCTTACCATTCTTCCACTACCCCTCCTCTCCTTTCCCATAAAAGATCTAGAGGATCTAGATTAAATGTTTTAATTTTAATTTTAATTTTTTATTCTATATTTGTTTAAATAAATACATTTATAAATTTTTTAATTAAATCTTATCACCAATCTGGACAATCAAGATTTGATATAGATTTTTCAAACTTAATCTTAAAATTATTTTTAAAAAAATTTCATGTTAAATTTGTGTTTACAAAGTATATTTGGATAGTTGATTTATAAATATTATAAATTATAAATTTTTTTTAAATATGATCACCAATTTAGAAAGTCTAGATTTAATATACTTAGCCCAAATTTAACATTAAAAATGTAAAATTTGTACAATATTTGGATAATCAATTTATATTAAATTTGTACAATATTTGGATAATTAATTTATAAATACTACTAAAAAATAACCTAAATATAGCATCCTTTATACAACGATTATTTAGAGGAGGCAAGATTTCCTCCCAAGGACTATATACCACTTATCTAAAATAATTACTATAGAGTCTCTTGATTTATGTAGCGGTTAAAAGCATATCCACTATATAGTCTTTACCTTTTTTTTTTATGGGTTGGGTCTGAGAAAGTATAAATAATCACTAAATATATTCTAAGACTATACAACGTCGATGATCGTGATGATCGACAGTTTGCGACTGGTTTTTGTATCTTCCTCGATCATTTCCTTATCTCTTGGAGAAGTAAGAAGCAGATGTTAGTCTTTTACTCCAGTGTTGAATCAAAATATCATGCACTAGCATACACGACCATTGAGGTACTTTAGCTCCATTGGTTACTTAAAGAGTTAGGAGCATCTCAAGCTCCTTCACAAACATTTATTGTGACAGTCAAATTTCAATCAAGATTGCTCACAATAATATATTTCATGAGCAGACCAAATATGTTAAAATTGACTGTCACTTTACTTGGTAGCATATTGTTCGATGCACCATTCGACTTTTTCTAATTTGAACCAAGCATTAGCTGGTAGACTTGTTTACGAAGTCCTTTCATTTAGGCTGCGTTTATTTTCTAGTAGACAAACTTAAGTTGCTCTCTATTAAGTTATCTTGAGTTTGAGGAGGATGTTATCTAAAATATTTTCTGAATATTCTATCATTATTGTATATATATATTAGTCATTATTAGCAAACATTATTTGATATTATTATATAATTATTAGTCATTATTGGGTTGTTGATTTATTAGTGCTTTTCAGCTTAGTAATATACAAGACATTTTTTCATATTTCTCTTGCTTGTTTCATACTTGTAACTGGGACTCAAGGAAATGTTATTTTATAACTGGTTTTGTGGATTTGTTTTTGTATAAACCTTAGAAGAGGCTTTGTTGTACTCCTCTCGTAGGCACATTTTGTTTGCTCATTTATTTTGCCATGACTCAAGTAACATTTTTCATTTATTAATTTGCGGCTCAACAGTGGCCTCAAGAATTTATTAGAGTTGATGAATTTTGGTTTATGTTGAAAATATTATTCTTTATTTATGATATTTTATTACACCTGAGATTTGACATTTATTATCCATGAGGGCCTCAAGTCTGAGCAGTTTTTTTATATATGCACTCGTATATAGGGCTTGTTGTGACGTTGTGTGCAACTTGGGACTGAGCCCCCCGTGCCCATATTTATTTTGTTGCAGTTTTTTTATACGTGTGAAGATTATCTAAGGAACTGTAAAAATATTTAAGTGTTTGCTGGAAAGATGAAAATATTGTTTTCCCATATAAAAATAAGAAGAAAAGTTTGAGCAATTTTTTAAAAATTGTTTTAAAAAAATTCTTTTCATGGGTTGAAAAAATGACGATGATTGTAGTGGCGTGTAGGTATGTTTCGTAGAAGCATGAGTGGATAACCTTGGTTAAATATTTAGAATATGTTGTGATCAATAATGACTTATTAGTTCTGATATCCTTATGTTTTTGTGTAATTTTTAATGGATTAAAGAGTATTCTGGAAAATGCTTTGGGAAGAGTTATAAGCAGCATGACAAGCTTGTCAAGCAATAACACGAGAGTTTTCAAAATCATATGATGTTACCTTTTTTTCCCTTCAACATTTATCCTCTGTTTGTATGTGAAGAAAAGTTACAAAAAAAGAAAATAAGAGAAAAAAATGAAGATAAAAGAAAATTGAAGAGATAATATTATCATTTATTTTGTTTGGATGAACAAGAGAAAATAGGGAGAAAAAAAATAGGCTCATGACACAATGACAACAATACCCTTATATTAAAATATATTATATGTCTTAGGTTATTATCTTAAAATAAATTGAAAGGAAAAAAAATACGACCCTATCAATATTTTAATATCAAATAATTTGCAAGATATATTTTTATTTAAAAATCAAAACAGGTAATTTTTTTAAAATAAAATATAATAATCCGTAAGAAATCAAATTAACGTTACTGTGCTTATTTTTTAAAACAACAATAGAGAAGATGATGGTCATGAAAGTGGAGATGAACATGTGTGTGATGTTGCTAGTTTAAAACAGTGTTAGGAAGAAAGTTCACAATCAAAAAAATAAAAAAAAAAAAAGAAGGATAATATTAAAATAAGGATTTTTTTTCTCAAAGTCTCTCCATGTGGAGAGAAAATGTGAGAAGAAAAAGTGGTAGGACTTACTTTTTATTTTCTTCTCAATTTTTTTTCAATTTTCTGTTCTCAACTAAACAGAAAAAAAATATTTTTTTCTCCTTTTTTTTAATTTTTTTTCTCATAATTTCTTTTCAATCAAACATAGGGTTAAAGAATTTTTAAGTAATGGCAGACTGTGGCCTGTGGACAATGCACATTGTCACGGCACCAACAAAGCTCATACAGTAAGAATCACAATGAGCGGCACATATCCGAGTTTTGGGGGGTCCACATTTATTAAAAGAAAGGGAAATTACTCTCCGGCTTCGTCACCCCAGCTCTACATATCCGTTAGCGTGAAAATAGGAACTGATATTTTAGAGTTTTGCGCAATTAGAATCAAGAAAGGAGAGTCGTGTTCAAATCAAGGTATTAAAAATTAAATCGATGGAGACAGTGAGTTATAAATTATTCAAATCAAGGTATTAAAAATTAAATCGATGGAGACAGTGAGTTATAAATTAGTGATTTAATCGAGAGTCAATTCAAAATCAAACTGATCTCAATTAAAAGAATTTAATTTAATTTATATATATACAAATATTCATATTTATATATAAAAATAATATTTAAATAAAAATAATTAATTCTCATATAAATGGAACAATTATCCATAGAATTTTATACATGCAACCATAATTACAATAATAAGTTAAATAGTTTAACTTGAATAACCTAACAAAAATTTAATATAAAATTATAATATTTATCCAAAAAATCATGATAATAAAAATAACAATAAATAAATAGTAGCAAAAAAAATTAATAATGATAACATAAATACGAATTTGGAGTCGAGAGAACTAAAAGATAAAAAAATCAAAATATAATTGAAAATAAAAAATATTAAAATAAATGACCTAAACTGATACACTAAATAAAATATATAATATTAAAATTTGATTTGTTATTGAGATATACTTATCAACATATATTTGATAATATTAAAATCAAAATTTAAAAATCACATCATTTGATAAAAGTGGGGAACGATGCATCAGTGGATAAATGTGCATTAATGAAGATATTTGGTCAATTTCAGTTCCTTTCTTCTCCCCCTTGTCCTTTTCTTTTGCGTCTCCCCCAAAAACTAAACCAACTCCAGCAACGAGATAAGGCAACAGGCACCAGCAAAGAAACAAACACCAAAACTCGACATCACGGTGAGATGAACGGCCAACAAGACAAGATAGAGTTCGAACTAGGAGAGTGATTGTCGACGAGACAAGTTCGAACCAAGAGAGCGACGACGGTAGAGAGGACAGTGATGATGGTTGACAATTGAGAATTCACCGACCAAGGCCAAAGAGAGCAACGATTAACTTAAGCTAAGGCCAGAGATGACTAGTGAGAATTTGAGATTGATTGCAAGTGTTCAACTTTCAATATTGCATTTAGTTGTGCATTTTTTATATTTTTTAATTTTTTTTAAAAAACTTTAAAATAAGTAACCTGATCAATTTGTTAGGTTATCCAGTTACATCAAGTTGATCTCAGGTTAATTGGGTCATGTTCTCATCGGGTTAGATGGAAATCAGACCGGTGGAAAAGTTGGTGTATCGATTCATGAGTTGACCTGATTGATTTGATCTGATTTTTCATACAATGGTTGAAGTTGACTCAGTTGAACCATTTAGAAAAGGAATCGCGGGGAGCCTGTTGGGACTGCAAAAATTAAAATAAATATACCGTGAGTTAATGACAAAAGCTAAGCTCGCACACTCTAGCACCGCTCACAACCTTCCTACCTTAGTTGCTGAGAAAAATTAGGCAAAATTTCACGGCAAATCTCGACCAAACTTATTGAAAGTCAACCTATTAAAATTCTAAAACATTAGTTAAGTTTTTGAAAAAAAAATGAAACAAATAATTCAATTCCCTACATCAATTGTTCATTTTTCATACAAAACTTATTCATTTTTCTTATATTAATTGTTCATACATCTAACTTCACTTATTTATATTTATAATAGTGTTATATTGTTAATGAGAGTTGTAAATTTTTTCTATATCAATATTTTATTCATACATTATTTGTTCATTTTTCTTACATAAATTATTTATGCACCTAACTTCACTTATTTATATTTGTAGTGATGTTATGTTGTTAATAAAAATTATAAATTTTTACTACATTAGTTGTTTATTTTCATACATCTAACTTCATTTATTTATATTATAACATTATTATGTTGCTAATGAGTGTTGCAAATTTTTTTCACTAGTTATTTATTTTTATATATAAATTATTTATTTTCTCTATGTCAATTATTTTTATTTGAGGGGATTGGTGTTATTTGTGTTATTTCCATCAAAAATTTAATTGCAATTTAGCCTGAGTGGGACTCATAAAGATTAAAATTGATATTTTAAAATTTTAAAAGAGTTGATTGTTAATAAATTTGATCAAGAGGTCTACAGTAAAAAATTATTAAAAATAATTTTTTTTATTTTTATTAAAAGATAGATGTAAGAACTTATTAAATTTAAAATAAAATTAATAAAGTTTAAAAAATTTTAATTTTAATAAAATATATTAAAAATGACTTACAAACAATACGAGTGAAGCATTTGATTCTCTTTTACCAGTTTGCCCAAACACTCCTTCAATGGTTGCTCGAGGTCCTTCCATTGCTTAACCTTTTACGATGAATTGTCATGGTTTTTGCCTTTTGGAACCAACATTAATTTTAAACATTTTGTTTATAAATAAAAACAAAATATTTTTTAAACTGAGGGAACCTTGTTCACCATTATCAAAAAGCCTGTTCACAGGGACATGGACGGCTCAAAGTCCCAAGACCAATGATTTTAAGGAATCGAAAGAGGACCCACCCATGTGAAAACTGATGAGGAAAAAAGTAACCAAAGGGTAAAGTATGAACCACACCAAAAAGCTGCCTCCACGCGCCAAAAATGACCTTCCTTCTTCTCAGTTCATTCTGTTGCTGTAATATTTGGTTCCCTTTTAGCAGTTTACCCAAACGACCCAAACGCTCCTCCAATGGCTGCTCCGGGTCCTTCCACTGCCTCAACTTCTTTAATGAGATATCACGTTTTCTTGAGTTTCAGAGGCACCGATACTCGCACCAACTTCACCGATCACGTGTACGATGCTTTGCTTCAACAAGAAATGACGTAGATCTTCACAAAGGACATGTTATTAAGGACGAACTCCTCCAAGCTATTAAGCAATCTATGTTTACCATTGTTGTGCTCTCCGATAATTATGCTTCTTCTTCTTCTTGGTGTTTGAATGAATTGCAGAAGATCGCAGAATCCAAATACGATTTTAGTCAAACAATTTTTCCAATTTTTTACGCCATAAATCCATCTGTTGTACGGCATCAAAAAGGAAAATTTGCTCCAGCTTTTTAAGACCCATGAAGCAGGAACCAGCCTTGGTGTTTCGGGGGGGAGGGATTTTTGTAAAGAAAAAAGTACATTACTTCTGTTAAATAATATAATATATATTTAATTAAATCAAACATTTAAAGAAGTTAATTAATTATTTTTAAATTAATATCATTTTTTTATGTTCATTTTTATATAATACGATGTTTCTCTTAAACCTAAATGATTGGGTGGTTCATTTATTTAAGGTATTTTAGAGAAATAACTTACTAATTATATATTAAAAATTAAAAATATTTTATATTTTTTACATCTAATCTAATCTAAAAAATATCTTATATTTTTAAATAAAATGAATGTGTACATGTATAAATTACTAATGAAAAATAAAAAAAAATTTATTATCACAATTTAAATAATATAACTTATAAATAAAATAAAAAATTATTTTCTCTTTTTTATGAGTAAAATAAGAAAAAATATTATATAAATGTGTGTGTGTATTGTAGCTAGGTATATTAAGCTTTTTTTATTCTTTTTAAAACTTGTTTATGGGGCTAAATATTTGAAGACTCATATAAATATATGAGAAGAGGTGGAGGGCCCCCCCTCACCACATAGGTGGTCCCGCCCCTGCCATGAAGTTAGATTTCCAGGTGATAGAGTACGAAAATGGAGAGCAGCTTTAATTGAGATTGCTAATTTGTCTGGTTGGGATACAAGAAATAAGTAAGTTACCGTTAATTCCTTACCCATTTTTTGTTTGTCCATTCCCACAATCTTGCGTCTTAATTTTTTTCTTTATCTCTTTGTTTTTAGATCAAATTTTTTTATCATTATCCATATGTGACTCTTTTTTTTTTAAATGACGACATGTCAAATACATACTTGTTATAGAATGATATACGTTCTCTTCGTCAACTTTCAAACTTGGGAGAAAGCTGTCAAGTGTCAACTATAGTATTTCTGAATAGGAAGATTTCACTTGTGACCCTCAAAAACAAAAATTTAAATTTAAATTTTAATAAAATTTGAAAATACGTTATAAGTGGATAGTTTTTTTTATAAATTTTATTGTAGATAAAATGATCACAAAATAAAGGATACAAGTAAACTAAGTCAATAGCTTTTTATAATCCTCCACTTTTTGACAATAAGGCAGTGGATGATCGAAAGCATGAAAACCACCAATCTAGTTTGAAGTAACTGTAGCTAAGTAATGAGTATAAAAATTAGCTTCTCTTTACATCAATTCTATAGTTACACTCTAGTCTTTATACAACAAAGATCTAACATTGGCAAGAATGTCAAAGTAAGATTGTAATTGAATGTCATTTCTAAAGAGATGATTAATCGTTCGGGCACAATCATTAAATACTGTAACCTTACCAAAACCCCTCTCTGTAAAGGCCAAGTAAGATAGCAGATACTGCTTCAATTCTCTTCAGGCTTGTTTGGATAGCCTTTTAAATTAATTCTAGGTTCAAAATCATAATTTTAAAATTTTTTATCTAAATATCTCAATTTTTTTCAAACTCTATTTGATTTCAAAACTCCATTTGGGATAAGCAAAATTTATTATATTTTAAAAAATCAATTCTGAACATTATTAGAATTACCCACTCAAAATAGTAATTACCTACTCAAAATTGATTTTTAAAAAAATATCCAAATATTATCAATTTTATTATGACTAACTTCTAAAAATTTATCCAAAAATCATCACATTTTAATAATCAATTTTTTTTATAATAAATTATTTTTAATTAAAATCCAAACATATTTTTAAACTCTTAATTAAATTTGGTGGTTAATTGATCATGCTTTCGTTTGTGCTACAACTGATAAGAAGTTTCACAAAAAAGGGATCTGTTACTTTTCCTTTCAGCAATGGGACCACCAGCTTTTTGTAATAAAATGATAAAATGGGTTTCGCTTTTTTAACCACCAAACTGTTACTTTTGACTTCTTCTCACCAAAATATGCCTATGCTAGTTCCATTACCACTTGTTAATTTGCGTCGTATTCATGTTTTTATTACAAAAAAATTATCATGTGGACTTCCAAATTATTAAAATATAAAAGAAATTTTATATTTAAAGATTAAAAAATAAATTATGAATATATAAATTTAAAAAATATTTAATCAAATAATTTAAACTATTTTGATAGAGTATATTATCCTTAAATATATTTAATATAAAAAATTTAATATAATATCAGAGTCATTCGATTGGTGACAAAAAAAAAAGAAAAAGAATGAAAGATGAAAACAATACAACAAGACATTTGAAAAAAAAAAAAGAAAGAGAGAAAGAGAAGAAAAAGAAGAAAAAATTAAATAAACTTAAAACTTCTGAAACTAAAAAAAAATACAAGCCTAAGTAAGAAAAAAATTGAAAAAAAAAAGAGAGATAAAAAATAATAGAAAGAATATTAAAATAATGAATCGTAAATATATAAGCTTAAGAAATATTCAATCAAATAATTTAAATTATTTTTGTAGAATATATTATCCTTAAGTATATTTAATATAAGAAATTTAATACGAATGAATTATTAAGTGAACTTGGTTACATTTAAATGATTCAAGCATGACTCATAATTAAAATTTTTAAGAATGACTTACTTCCTTAAGCCCTCTTTTGTTCCATTAGCTGTTTTTATTTAGCAAAGATCAAGATAAAATGAATTATTGGGAAATAAACAAACATTATTATTAATATTTAGAAATTTGGACAATTTTTATAATTAACAAACATTATTACTTGAAATGTGTCATTCTTGTTTATAATTAACCCAAAAATATCTGCAGGTAAAGGAAGGGAATGGATGTTTTGAACAAATGCTATTTTCATTTTGAACGTGTAACAATACTTATAAAGTTGCAAAAGAACTGTGACATACATGCCTCAAGTAAGCTCAAAAGAAAGAAAATGAACTATGGATCACATGGGTAAGGCAGCCAAGCACATGCTTCATGTGACTTAGCAAAGGTAGGGCATCCAAGTTTTCTCGATTATAGTGTCCAATCCCACCCTGCTCAAATGTTACTTCCTTAGCTTCAAGTAGACTCTGCCATTTCAACTTCTATCTTCAGACAGTACTGATATGAAAGAATTGGAGTCGGCAATTTAGATTAAATTTTAACAAAGTTACTGTTCTATTTAAAATATATTTATATCATTTAAAATATATTTAAAAAGTTAATATAATTTTTAATATTAAATTTAAACTGTCAAATTAATAATATATTTATTAAAAAATTATAATTTTTATATATTTTTATTTTTAAAATATAAATTAAAAATAAAAATTTAAATTTAAATAGTTTAAATTTAATTTAGACTGTTGAAATTTTTTTCAATCTCAGTGAAGAGGAAGAGGCCTCCTCCGTGAAATCTAGCTAGTTTTACGCATAGGATATAGTGGGAAGCCACATGGGTCCAGAGCAGCGCATGTGCTCGCGGCAACAAAGAAGATAGGGAAATAATCATTAATAGATATGAACAAAAAAAAAAAATTCTAGGGGAGAAATTATACATATTTGAGCTTCCTAGGCAGAAAAAAATATACATATATAACAAGAAAATAAGAAATAATTGATTTTATTTTATAATTTATTAACCTTGTATATATTGTAAATATAAAATAATATCTTATTTTACTCTATAATCTTTTTCACCTTGTGCAAATAAAAAAAATCAAATAATATATCTTGTTCTAGACGTCATTATCCGATGCATGGCGTGTGTTTATACTCTAAGTCATTCAACTTAGTTGTCGGTTATAAGACAAGAGACAAGAGACAAGAGCTTAGAGGGGCGAAGATGTGAGCTTAGGGAGCAAAGGAGACAAGGGCTAAGGGTCAAGGGGGTGCCAAGCTGTGGGGAAATAATGACTTGAAAAAAATCAAAACACTAAAGAAGTTGAGCTATGGGTAAATTCAATATAATGACAGTTCTCATAGAAATTGTCGTTATATTTTAAGTTTCATGACAGGCCATAAATAACTTGTAATGAATTACATGAAATGATTAACGATAGGTCCACCTAGACCTATCGTTAATTAAGGATATCACAACATGCATATTAATGCCTGTCGTGATATCCAATGAATTTTAAAATCATCAGCTCCTAATAATATTTTTAATTTTTTTTTAAAAAATAATGAGCTTGGTATCATGATAGGCACATTAATGTCTGTCATGATATCCAATGAATTTTAAATCACAAGGTCGAGATATCACAACAAGTAATAAAGAGTCTGTCGTGATACCTAATAATATTTTTAGAAAATTTCTTTTTTTTTAATGATGAGTTTATGATATCACGACAGGAACATTAATGCCTATCGTGATATCCTACAAAATTTAAATCAGCTGGAGGCTAGGATATCATGACAGGCAATAAAGAGCCTGTCGTGATATCCTACGATATTTTTAAAAAATTTTTTTTAATGAAGAGCTAATAATATTACGACAAGTACATTAATGTCTATCATGATATCCAACAATTTTAAATATCAGAAGGGTATCATGAGGTTGGGGTATCACGATAGGCAATAAATAGCCTGTCGTGATACCCAATAATTCTTTTAAAAAAATTTTATTTTTTTATGATGAGCTAATGATATCATGATAGATATCCATGTCACGAGGTTAAGTTATCACGACAGGCAATAAATAACTTATCATGATACCTAATGATTAGCTATGATATCATGAAATGGCCTATTATGATATCCACTCATTTTTAAAATTTCTTTTAATAAGCTTGGTATATCACGAAGGCCATTAATGGCCTGTCATGATATCCTTCATTTTTTAAATAGTTTCTTCTTTTTTAATTGTATCAATGTCATTTAATTTACTTTAATAATTTATTAATTTATTTATATATATAACTTAAATTTAAAATATTATTAATTAAATTTTTTATAATTATAACGATATTTTTTTTGTTTAAATGTAGTTATTAATTGTATAGTTTCTAATTTTAATTATTAAAATTGCCATGGAGTA